AATTGTGCACTAATTTTTCCTCTTATTTTATGCCCCGTTTAAAATGGGAAAGAAGAGAAAACACGAGAAAATGAGGGAAAATGCGAGAAAATTGACTTGAGGTAAGCATTGGAGAAAATGGTAAGCATTCCTGGTACTTTACAGACTGTAGTTACTCACTTCAACCAATCATCTGTCTACACTTCTCTCCCCCTGGCCCCGTACCGCCATTTTTAACGGATTTCTTTCTCTTCATTTTTAAAATACGCCAAACAAACCCTAACTTTCTCTCTTCCAACAGTTCAAAAATTTTCATCTCAATTCACTTTCTCAGTACCCAGAAGGGTTTTCAGTTTCTAGGGTTCTTCAATCAATGAATTTCTGACGTTTTCTATCTAAAGTAGATGAATTTCTCATTCTCTTTCTCGCTTTACTTTCTCTCTCTGCTGTTTCTCATCTCCTCTGCCTTGTCTGAGTTGGATTCCGAGCTGGGTTCTCTTCTGGAGTTCAAGAAGGGTATCAAAGCTGATCCCTTGAACAAAGTCTTCTCCACATGGGATCGTTCGGCTAAACTGGATTCTTGGACTGGGGTCACCCACGACCCAAATTCTGGGTCTGTCATCGGCGTCGATTTAAGCAACTTGGGTCTTGTTGGGGATCTCAAGTTCAACACACTAACTCCACTCAAGAACCTCCGCAACTTTTCTATCTCTGGTAATGCGTTCACGGGTCGGCTGCCACCTGCATTGGGCACAATGACTTCGCTTCAGTGCCTGGATCTGTCAAATAACCAGTTTGTGGGTACGATCCCAGCTCGGATCACTGAGCTTTATGGGTTGAATTACTTGAATTTATCTCAGAACAAGTTTGAAGGAGGATTTCCGGCTGGGTTTCGAAATTTGCAGCAACTAAAGGTGTTGGATTTACACGGCAATGCATTTCAGGGTGATGTTGGTGACCTTTTGAGTGAATTGAGGAATGTTGAACACGTCGATTTGAGTTACAACCAGTTTTATGGGGGTTTACCAGGTGCCGTGCAAAACATTTCGAGCTTGGCCAATACGGTTCGATATGTGAATTTGAGTCACAACTACTTGAACGCTGAATTTTTTGTGAGGGAGGAAATTACATTGTTTAGAAACCTGGAGGTTTTGGATTTGGGTGATAATCACATTAATGGAGTGCTTCCAGCTGGTTTTGGGTCGTTGCCAGGTTTGCGGGTTTTGAAGTTGGGAAACAATGAACTCTATGGGGCTGTGCCTGTCGACTTGTTGGAGGGTTCTGTTCCGATGCAGGAGTTGGATCTCAGTGGCAATGGATTTACGGGTATGCATTTCTTTTTAACCTTTACGTTATCCCCTTTTGTTCCTAGTAGAAATCCGCAGCAAAGTTCTTGGTTGGAACGCTATCAGACCATTTTAGTTATTTTTGCAAATATTATCGATTATAGTGGCCTGCGATTTATGTCATTCTGGTTTTTCCATGAAAGCAATTTTAGTTAAATGGAGACTCTTTTTTCTTTTTTTTTTTTTTTTTTTGTTTTAAATAGTTTACAGTCTTTTATGTCTGGCATAATGATATTTTACTAATAGTTATTTACGAAATGTGATCTGAATAGGGTAACATACAGAGCCTTTCAGGACATTAAATTGAGATTAGAGAAAAGAGTTTGAAAAATAAATATATGCTTTGTATGGAGAAGTTCTTTCCTATGTAAATATTAAGCATATTTTTGAGGAACGATTTAAAATTGCATCTAAAGAAGAAAATTGCTGAAGTTCAAAGTGGTGATTAAAGAATGATATTGATGCTAAGTTCTTTATATAAGTGGGCTTAGAAAATGATACCATGGTTGCCTAAGTGGATAGAAAGGCACCAGGTACTGCAACAAAGAACCCTTAGTGAATGTAAGGTAATCCTCTTGCTTGCTTTAAGTATGAGGGGTTGCAGGAGGAAGATTGCCAAACTGATGACACCTAGTCTTTGAGTACTTGAAGTGATCATTGTCTTCTTGATGTTAAACTAACTTGTGTGATACTCAAATATCATTAATTACATTAGCTAAGTTTTTAGAGATTGAAAAGTATTTTGGCTTTTGCCTTGTAATGTCCATGTACTTTAATTATTTTTCTGACTTGCATCATGTCTTTCATAACTGGACTAATCCTTCCAATGTGATGTTGTTGTGGCATTACAGATCTTATCTGTAATAAATTCTTCTTGATATGCTAATCATTAAATCTCCACAATGAGTTTATTGTATCCATCGTTTCTTTTCTATTATACAAATTTACTAGTTCACTGTTCTAAACATCTTGTTCATACATACATCTGAAATCATTTTGTACAACATCTTGCTCTGGATTTGCAGGTTCAATTCTAGTAATTAACTCTACAAGTTTGAATATTTTGAATCTTTCATCAAATCAGTTATCTGGAGATTTGCCCTCTACTGTGAGAAGCTGTGTTATACTGGATTTGAGCAGAAACATGATCTCTGGTGACATATCTGTTATGGAGAACTGGGAAGCCTCTTTGGAGGTTCTTGATTTGAGTTCAAACAAGTTGGAAGGAAGCATTCCAAACTTGACTTCTCACTTTGAGGGTTTAACCACGTTTAAGATTGGGAATAATTCTGTTGTTGGTAGCTTGCCTTCTCTATTGGATGCCTGTCCAAGGCTGTCTGTTGTTGACCTCAGTTTAAATCAACTTAGTGGGCCCATTCCGAGTAGTTTCTGCTCTTCAATGACTTTGAAAGACCTGAATCTTTCTGGAAATCTTTTCACTGGGCCTATTCCTCTTCAGAGTTGGCATGTGAATGAATTACTTGTCCTTTCTTCTTCTCCACTGTTGGAGTCTCTTGATCTCTCCAGTAATTCCTTAGTAGGTGGGTTGCCTCCCCAGATAGGTAACATGGAAAGGCTCAAATTGCTAAGCCTTGCAAATAACAAGTTATCTGGCCATCTGCCAAGTGAATTAAGCAAATTGACTGACTTGGAATGCCTTGATTTATCTGGAAACAAATTTAAGGGCAAAATTCCTGACAAGCTTCCATCCAGCCTAATTCAATTTAATGTTTCCCATAATGATCTATCAGGTCTTGTTCCAAAAAACTTAATTGGCTTCCCTATTTCTTCATTTTATCCTGGAAATGCATTGCTAATTCTCCCTAATGGTAAAGACAGGCCGTCAACAGGGTCTGTTCAAAGTCAGATCCCCATTCAAGGACATCATAGGCCAAAGGGTAATATTAAAGTAGCAATAATTTCTGCCTCGGTTGTAGCAGCTATGATGATTGTTTTTTTCCTGTTTGCCTACCATCGGGCACATTATAAAGAATTTCAGGGAAGAAGTGGATTTTATGACCAGACTGCTGGGAGAGATGCAACAGCAGGAAGACTTTTGCGACCTTCCTTTCCCAAATTCCACTCAAATATTCAGCACCAGCAACCTTCATTGGGTTTTTCAAATGACCACTTGCTCACTGCAAATTCCCGGTCATTATCTGGGCAGCAAGAGTTTGTTGCTGAAATTGTTGAGCATGGTGCTTCTCAGAGAGTGGTGAGTGATTCAGCATCTGCCTATCCTAATTTGCTAGATGATCAGCCTGCAACATCTGGAGGTAAATCATCACCTGGTTCTCCATTACCGTCATCACCACGTTTCATTGAAGCGTGTGAACAGCCTGTAATGTTGGATGTCTACTCACCAGAACGTTTAGCTGGAGAACTTTTCTTCCTGGATTTATCACTGGCATTCACTATTGAGGAGTTATCTCGAGCTCCAGCAGAAGTTCTTGGAAGAAGCAGTCATGGGACTCTTTATAAAGCCACTCTCCATAATGGATATGTGTTGACTGTGAAGTGGTTGCGGGTAGGACTGGTCAAGCATAAGAAAGAATTTGCTAGGGAAGTTAAAAAGATAGGGTCTATAAGGCATCCGAACTTTGTTCCAGTGCGAGCGTACTATTGGGGACCAAGGGAACAAGAAAGGCTTCTTCTAGCTGACTACATCCAAGGCGATAGCTTGGCTCTACACCTTTATGGTAAGAACTCTCAAATAGTTCCTTTTTTCTTATTTCTTGTACATATATGTATATTTTTAAAAAATAGAACCATGTCATAAATTATTTAAATTGCCCAAGTCTTTGAAGCTGTTTTATAAATTTTTATGTGATTGCTAAGCTTTATGATCCTGCATGTTGTTTTTCTTTTCTCCCCTTTTGCTTGCTCACTTTCTGGTTGCATGTTGGCTTTGTATGGTTCATTCAGGTAAAAATAGCATGGTTGAAACTGGAAATGTCTCTGAAGGTCTCTTTTAGTGATTGGTTGCAGCATCATGCAATGAGTCATATCTGATTAAATATCTTGTATATGAAATTTGGCAACCCTGTCAATGGAAATTAATAATGTTCATATAAGAATCTCCGTTTTACCTTTTTTCTAACCCATGGGTTTTCTGTGTCATATATTCTTAAAATTATGTGGATGTTTTATTATAAGCAATCATTTCAGAAGTCATTTTTTTATTGCTGACTTGTGTACCATTTCGAAGCATGTGTCATCTCACTTGTCAGTGGGTTTAGAAGCAGCAGTCTTTGGAAAATAATCATGTATAATCCCTTGAATTGACATTAACTTTAACTTATCCACTTGGTGAAGCAAATATGTGTAGTTTTCATTTCAACATGAGTCGTATAGAGTAGTTATGAGGTTGAGTCACATAACAAGCCATCTGCACAGTATTGGTATAATGTGTCCACAGAATTGGTCTATGTGTTGCTCCTTATCTCTATATTCGAGGATCCTGTTGTGGAATTTGTATGGTGACCCTCCATACAATGCTTTGATGGAAGTGTGCACATGCTACCTATGTGGCTGGCCCATGGCTTGCCATTAGATGATTAGATAGTGTAGAACACAGTTGTGTTATCTGTCTACAAGCTATTAACCTGGGTATAGGGTTTAGAAAATTAGGGTTTATGGGATTTAAGGTTAGGATTTTAGTGTTTTGGGCTATGAGTAAAAAAATATAGGGATTAGGGGTGAATTGGGTTTTGCTTTGTGGGATTTATTTGGGTAGAACATAAGCTGCAGCAGTTTTAAGTTAGTTGTTAACAGTTATCTGAATTACTGTGGCAGCAAGGACTCAGGTTATCTCCACAGTTTAGTCTTGAAACTGAATGAATTTTAGTGGTCTGTAATCTGGTAGCAGCTATGAGCTGAGAAATAACAGAGTAAGTCTTTAAGTTTGAGAAGGATGTTATCCAAAAAAGTTCAAGAAGGATGAGCTGTTCTGGTTTGGTGCCAAGAGGGATGGTCTTGGAATTCACGAGTTCAACCTTTTATGTGTGCTGAGAGCTGCTTTCTGACCAGAACCAAGAGATAGAAGGAAGGGATTCATGAGTTCAAGATATTAAAGATGGTGTTTTGATGGAAATAGAATATTTTATTCATCAGAAGCAAGGGGATGGTCTCGGAATTCACAAGTTCAAATGTTAAGGATGCTCTTCTGAAGAGCTGCCAATCTCAATCAGATCCAAGATGGTTTTCCAGTTTCTACATTTCCCATTGAGCATAACATTTAGGCAGAGAGGTTTTCGTGTCATTTTAATTTGCAGTCCAGATAGGGAAGTCCTAATCCCTGTATGTAAGAGGATTTAGACAGGATGTTTGTTCTAGTTTAACATATATTCCTGCTTAGTCACACGATGTAAGGATTGTTTGATGGTTAAATTAGGCAGGAAATCTAAATGATATTTTTTTCGTCGTAATTGGGAAATAGTACTTTTTCACTGTCTATTATTGTCTTTCAAGTAATAAGTTGAGGTGGTCAACTAGAGAACTAAGGATCAATTAAGGTTTCCTCAAACAAGTCACTTCCCAAGAGCTAGGTATTACTCTTCATCATCCCTGCTATGCCCTTTTCCTTCTTTTTTCAGGTTTCTGGACTTGGACACATAATACATGTGTTGATGATGATTGCATCTTAGTCTCTCAATTTAGAGTCAAGATGCTCTTTGCTATATCTTAGTTTGCACAGGGGAAGAGTTATAGACTGCAGCAGAGCTGGATTTGGCAGTGGTACATGTAGTAAAACAACTCTGATAAGGTTGCTTAGGACATTTCTCCCAATCATTGTTCTCTACACTACTTGTTTTCTACTCTTCTTATTCAGTTATGTCAGCTATGGTGTTGAAATTCATCAAATCTTTCACCCTAATCTTGGGATTAGCAGTGTGCTTTTTTGGGAAAATTTTAGTAGAAATTAAGATATTTATATTTGACGTATTGAGAAGTTAAAAAATTGTTATATTTGCTAGTTCCTACAAACGTCCACTTTCATTCCTGGCTAGATTTGATATTTTTTTGAGGCATCTTGGCAACTGTGGGATTCATCATTGTTTAAGCATTAAGGGGCCGCGTGTTGGTTTCATTGTTTTATTGTTGTGCAATCTCTGTGTACACGAGCTTGTATGATTATATTGTCAAACTCTTGTATTATTTCACCTTAGTTGTAAGTCTTAATGCAGAGACAACTCCTAGGAGGTACTCCCCATTATCATTCAGCCAAAGACTAAAAGTTGCTGTGGAAGTTGCCCGATGTCTGTTATACCTTCATGATAGAGGCCTGGCACATGGAAACCTAAAGCCAACAAACATTGTCCTTGCTGGACCTGATTACCATCCTCGCCTCACTGATTATTGTCTTCACCGCCTTATGACATCAACTGGCATTTCAGAGCAGATATTGAACTTGGGAGCTCTCGGATACCGTGCTCCAGAACTCGCCACAGCATCTAAACCAGTCATGTCACTCAAGGCCGATGTGTATGCATTTGGGGTGATCCTGATGGAATTGTTAACCCGAAAAAGTGCTGGTGACATTATCTCAGGTCAGTCAGGAGCTGTAGATCTTACAGACTGGGTTCGGCTGTGTAATGAGGAAGGACGAGGGATGGACTGTATTGACAGGGACATTGCAAGCGGGGAAGAGCACACGGAAGCCATGGATGACTTACTTGCCATATCACTGAGGTGTATTCTTCCTGTTAATGAGAGGCCTAACATTAGACAAGTCCTAGATAATCTCTGTTCAATGTCTGTTTGAAAATTTTGTACATGCGTCTTGGAATTCATTTTTTAAGTTCCTTGACCCAATCGGCATTCTTTTTTTTTTTTCTTTCTTTAATTGATTTCTGGCCTCATGAATTTTGGGTATTCATCACATTTCTTTCCTGAAAGTTTTCTTGTAAAGGGACGACTGACATCCATTGATTATATGACAGTGCACTCGGTCTTCAACAGAAAAGGGTTAGGTTTGGCTTGGGAGTGCTAGTCTAGTTGCCTTGGTAGATCTTTTAGTCTGTCTTTCTTTCTTTCTTTCTTTTTTTAACATTAAATGATAGAATATATGACCTACAACATAAGATAGGTTTTTAAATTTTTTTATTTATTTATTTTATGATTTGAATTTAAAATGTTTAATATAAAGATATAAAATTTTAATTATTAAAATGTTCAAATTTTGTTTTCTGGTTATTGTTTATTATGTTGGCACTTACTTTTGTTGCGGATTAAAAATGTAATTATCATATATTTTTATTATAAATTTGTACCAAAAATATAAGAATAAATCTTATTTTTAATATTAATATCATGTAAAATATTTTAATTAAATAATAAATAAAATTAAAATTAATTTTTATTTTTATATAAATTTATTATAAAAATATAATAAATATATTTTTAAATTACGCAAAACAGATATTAAATTTTTTTTTTTAAAAAAAATTGATATACCTTGCCGGTTTAGAGCGAGACAAGGGACAGGTTGATGCGGCGCGTTTTGATTTTCCGTTCGTGATTTAAATGCTGCGTTAATGACCCAAACGATGCGATGAAACAATGTAAAAATGGCGGCGTCTTCTTCAGTTCCCCAAACTCTCCATAGCGTTTCCAAATTCTCGAACGTTAATATGTGGAACTCAAGAATAAGAGAAGCTGTAAACACAAACTCCGCCCAAAAGGCCATTCTTCTGTTTCAGCGAATGAAGCTAAGTGGGTTGGAACCCAACAACTTAACCTTTCCCTTCGTAGCTAAAGCCTGTGCCAAGCTCTCCAATCTCAGATGCTCTCAAATTATCCACACCCACATTGCGAAATCTCCGTTTCGGTTAGATATTTTTGTTCAGACAACGATGGTGGATATGTATATAAAATGTGATAGGTGGGATTATGCATACAAGGTTTTCGATAGAATGCCCAACAGGGATGTTGCTGCTTGGAATGCAATGATTGTGGGTTTTGCTCAGTTGGGTTTTCTTGATAGAGTATTAAGTCTTTTTTATGATATGAGGTTTGTTGGGATTCAGCCTGATTCGGTCACCATTGTGGGAGTGAGTCAGGCGGTTTTGGGTTTAAAGAACTTGAATTTGGTCAGGGGAGTTCATTCATTTGGGATTCAAATTGGCGTAGATGGTGATGTTTCTGTAGCTAATACATGGATTGCAGTTTATGCTAAATGTGGTGATTTGGAGTCAGCGGAGATGGTTCTTGATGGGATTGAGGTGAAGTCCATTGTCTCGTGGAATGCAATAATTGCTGGGCATGCAAACTTCAAAAGATTTAGGGATGCTTTTGATTTTTACAGAAGGATGCTGCTTGATGGGCTTAGGCCTGATGTGAGTACCACTGTCAGCCTACTGTCTTCATGTGTGCAACTGGAAGCATTATTGTATGGGAGGCTGATGCATTCTCATGGAACCCAACTGGGTTGTGATTTAGATATCTCTGTAATTAATACTCTTATATCAATGTATTCTAAGTGCCACGATGTTAGTTCTGCAAGATTTCTATTTGATGGCATGTTTAGTCGGTCATGTGTTTCGTGGACTGCCATGATTAGCGGGTATGCTGAGAAAGGAGATATGGATGAGGCTATGGCCTTGTTTTACTCTATGGAAAGAGCCGGTGAGAAACCTGATCTGGTTACGGTGCTCTCATTGGTTTCAGGTTGTGGCCAGACTGCAGCCCTTGAGCTTGGAAGATGGATTGACAGTTATGCAAATTCCAAAGGGTTTAAAGAAAATGTGATGGTTTGTAACGCAATGATGGATATGTATTCAAAATGTGGAAGTTTACATGATGCTCGAAAGCTCTTTCATGCGATGCCTGAGAGAACAGTTATTTCTTGGACAACCATGATTGCTGGTTGTGCTTTGAATGGAGAATTGAATGAAGCTTTGGACCTTTTTTATCAGATGATTGAATTGGATTTGAAACCAAACCACATAACATTTCTTTCTGTCCTTCAAGCTTGTACTCATGCTGGCTTTCTTGAGAAAGGATGGGGAATCTTCAATATGATGACCAGAGTATATAATATTAATCCTGGATTAGACCATTATTCGTGTGTGGTAGATCTTCTGGGACGCAGAGGGAAGCTAAAAGAAGCTTTGGAGTTTGTTCAAAATATGCCAATTCAACCTGATGCAGGCATATGGGGTGCTTTGCTTAGTGCTTGCAAGATTCACCGCAATGTAGACATTGGTAAGCATGCAGCTCATTGTTTATTTGAATTGGAGCCTCAAGTGGCTGCTCCATATGTGGAGATGGCAAATTTATATGCATCAGCTGGAAGATGGGATGGAGTTTCAACAGTACGATCATTGATGAAATGTAATAAGGTGAGGAAGTCTCCTGGACAAAGCCTTATTCATGTTAATGGAAAAAATCATACATTTACGGTTGAAGATAGATGTCATCCTGAAGGTATGCCTATATATGAATTATTGGATGATTTAACTTTGCAAGCAAAGGATCAGGGATGCTTACTCCATGGGGAGGAAACACCAGAAATTTGCTTTTATCATGTATAGATGAATTTGGCTTATTGAAAGAAATGAAAAAAAAAAAAAAAGAAAACAACAAAACAAAAACAAAAATGCGTGTGAAGACTCACCAGTTTGATCCTGAGGTGGGCTACTATGCAATCAAAAAAAGGAAGATCTATACTCTTCACCTTTAGAAGGAACTTGAGGAGATCATCAAAAGAATTTAGTGAACCTTGCCTTGGCATCCCATGGAAAAGAATGAAGTGAAGAAGCTGCAGTGAACAATGCAAATGATATGCAATGAGGTAGTCATTATTTTATTTTTGTGGGCACATAATTTTGATTTTTGTATCAATTACCGTTTTATTTCTAATAACAGGTTTCAAAGTTGGAGCATGCATATCATCAGCTTGACCATTGTAGACTGCATGAAGCCTATTGCATCCCTTAGAGATGCAGGGTGGACTGAGCTACTGATTTCTGAGCTAAACTGAGAAAATAAGGAAAAGAAGAGGAAAGGGATAAAAAACATTACAGTGTCATTTGCCTAGTATAGACATTTTGATGATTATGAAGGGAATAACAGACAGAAGAAAGGGCTTAAATCATTGATGCTGTTGGAGCTATGGCATGAAAGCTGAAAATGCAATCAAATGAAATTTGCCAAATGATGCTGCAATATGACTGCACAGTAGCAGCAAAGTGACAACAGCATGGAGCTGCACATAACTCCAGAATGTACTGAAGCAGCAAAGATCCACGGATAAAGCTGCTGCAATGGTGGAGTTGCTGAAAATGCTTAAGGCTCCAGAATTCGTTCAAACAGCAAAAATCTAACGAAGATGAAGCTGATTTGCAGGAGGAGTTGAAATATTTGAGAAGATGGTACTTGGCAGCAAACAACAAACCAAACCAAAGCAAAAAGAACTGAAAATGGCAGCTTCAACGTGCTAAAGTAAAATTTTTTTTCTGCAGCTTTAATGCCAAGGAGGAGCTTGTTGGAGCTATGGCATGAAAGCTGAAAATGCAATCAAATGAAATGTGCTAAATGATGCTGCAATATGACTGTACAGTAGCAGCAAAGTGACAACACCATGGAGCTGCACATGGGCTACAAGAAATGGCAGCAAACTTCATCATTTTAGTCAATGTTTTAGGTAGTTAATAATTATTGTATTAGGTAGAAAAATATTATTTTTTTATGTGTAGTCTTCCTCTATAAAAGGGAAGGAAGAAATTGAATGAAAATTGAGAGAAAGAGAAACCTCAGTTTCTCCTCTCCGGTTGGGTGAATGTCTGCACCCGTCCATGTTTATGACCTTATGTTCTATGTTATGCTGTGTTGTTTCTACTATAAATAGCAGAATATCAATGGAAGAAAATGGGTTCTAACCTCACCAAAAGAGGGAACTCCGGGTGTCTCTCCTTCTCTCAACCCCCCCTTCTCCCTCCTTACCACCCAAAATCCAACAGATACAGATGAGATGGTCTGGATTTTATTCCAATTTAACTAATTTTCTATGAAGAATAAAATGCTAATGGAATAGGTAAGTAAGCCACTTGTATTTTGTCCCTAGTTTACTTGCAAAAACATAAAGCATTTTGCTTGTTTTCAGGGTAAAGCCGCGTATTTGAGCTTCAAATTGGATATTGGATTTGGATGGTACTATAGAACTCAGAAACATGCACGGATATCTGCTACTTCGTAGTAGAAGAGTACCAGCATAATTTAAAAAAAAAATTATATAAGACTTTTTTAACTTGTGATATAAGTGTATAGGTTTAAAGGTATAGTTAATACATATTTTAATCATTTAATCATATGAAAAATAAAAAAAAGAGTTAATATTAATTTTAACATTGATATTATGTATATTAATTTAACTAATTAGTTGTTAAAATTAAAATTAAAAATAACATTAATTTGCGTTTTAAGAACACCAAGTTAAAAAAATCCTTTTCTATATTGTCTCCCTCGACTTGCTATTCGGCCTTTTGATCCCATGAAGCTCAACGTCACATTAACAAAGTCCTCTATTCTGTTTTCTTCTCTGGATTGAAGATGCTCATCAATGACCTTGTCAAAGAATTCATGATCACCTCTGACTGTAAGCTTTCATGCATTTTGTCAGACTCTGAAGATCAAGTGCTCTGATTTGAGGACCGTATTTACCTAGGTTTACAGCGTTGAACCCCCTCTTGTCTTGATATTCGTATCAATTAAAGTTTTGTTACTCTTGGAGCATATGTTCTTCAGCCATGCCAAAGCAAGAAGAAATGAAAATGAAAGCATAAAAGGGTGCAACTGTTTTTTTTTTTTTTTTTGGATCAGCAAAAGAGTACAACTGTTGCCCACGTCCAAGTCATGGTGGTACCATTTTCTGGCTGCACCCAAGGCTGGAGCATCTGGGTCAGAATCTTTATTCTGAAGATGGAAGCTGCTGGAACTACCCACGGCCTTGGTGCTCTTTTCCTCTTCTCTTGTATCCATGCTTATGAAGTTTGCTTTTCCAGTTCTTTTCTTTTAAATATATGACAGAATTTTTGTTGTTTTACTATAGCACAGATCCAACTCCGTTTTATGGTGACATGACATCAACTAAAATATAAACTGGTAGGAGAATCAGATTTATAGAATGGAATGATAAGGATCGTCATTCTTGTAGCCGTCAGTTCAACACCCAGCAAGAACCATCCTTGTAAAATATATTTCTAGGTCAGTTAGGAATAGGACACGAATATCTTAATCCGTAGCCATTCACCCAGTTATATTCAATTCTTGGTTCTAAACAGAGGTTAACTGGAACCCTGATCCTTAGTATGCTTTAATTCCGCATTATCCCTTTCAATGGATCGCAATCGCTGTGTCCTTGTAATTGATGCAAAGAGGTACCCGTATAAGCAATTTCCTTTAAATTCCAGTGATGGAAAGATGGATTATTGATCCAGTTTAGATTTGTCCATAGCTTCCAATCCCATCAGTGTCGATATGAAGAAGTGTTGGGACTTGTGATGTGAGTTTTACATGTTGAAGATGCCCGTGCTGAAATTTGGTGAGATTCAGTGGTATTTGGTATTTAATTTTGAGTGACAGTGGTGGAGATTATGCTATAGTTTTTAAAATTGAATTTTGATTTACAGGAGGTGTTTATTAGGAATTTTGGTGGAATGCAGAGGAGAGTATGATGAGAAAGAGGCAGTGATGTGTTTGAAAATCAGCATCTTTTTTGCTCCTTTTCTTGTTGGAATCACGGTTAGAAATATGGCATTTAAATCTGCACAAATGATGAAATGAATCTGCCATGAAATGGCAGCAATGAGGCAGAAAATTGACAGCAAATGAAGCTGCAATTTGACAGCAACTATGGCAGCAATTTAGCTGCAAATATGATGGAAATGAAGCTGTCAAATGACAGCAAAATGTGCAGCAAGCTAAGCTGTAAATGTTGATGAAGATGAAGCTGCAATAAACAGCAAATGAAATGCAAATGCAAAAGGAACAAAAATGCAAATGAAATGAAAGGCTACAACGTGACCGCAGGGTAACTGCAAGCATGCGGGAAAAGTGGCTGTTAGTTGTTCAAATTTCAAATGTACTTTTATTGTTTTTTAATGTAAAATAGTTGTTTGAATTTTGAATTGTATTAAAGTTTGTATTCTCTTATATATAGAAGAGTTTGTTAATGACAAAATTTGAGTTGAAGTGTTATACTTCTTTCCATTTTAATTTATGTTCTACCTTTCATCTTCCTCCCGATTTTCTCTCCATTTCTTTGTGAAAAAAAAACCAACATTTCTTACGAGAAAGAAGTTGAGATGATGAAGGCGAGTGTGTTTTGTGTGGATCTTAGGAAACCCAGTTTGGTTACAACCGAAAATTTTCATTGGCAGTTCATGTTCCAAATATTAAATTTTTTTTCTCTTTTGGTTTACAAGATTAATTTTGGTCGACATGAAAAAAATGAATTTGGTGTGATTAACTATATTTCATAAAGTTTGTTGATCATAATGTATGCTGGATGTTGAACAAGAATTGGAAGATAATGGTATTTGCAAAATTTTGTAAGAATTAGAGGATTCTGTTACACTGAAACTGAGGGATTGGGTTTAACAGCCAGATGTCATCAGACTTCAAAGGATGAAAATAATGAACGTGATTCATTAAGGTTTTTCTGGGGAAAATAATGATATAATTGTTAGACCATTTGGGACAAGCGAAGAATAACAAGTTTACAAAATAAAATTGTGTTTTTTCAAGTGAACTGTATGTGTGCAAGGAAGGTGTCGGTTTGGTGTGTGTGCTTATCATTATCTGAATGATAAACATCAGTCAATGAAATGAAAATTTTATTTCTTACTAATATTAGCTGAGATATAATATGAGTGATTTATGGGATGGATGGATATATTGCTTGCCTTACACATTTGCTACTTGATCATATTTTCAGGCGATAGGCAGGCAAAGCCAGGAGATGCTTGGCTCTTGGAGTCGCTAGACCGAACTCCTCTGTCATGTCCAAGTCTGTTGGCAACATATTATCGGGAAGCTCCCAATCAAAGCAATGAACCAACTGTGCCACCACTAGCCGAACCACAGTCAGTCCTAATAGCATTCCAGGGCAACTTCTCCGGCCAGACCCGAATGGCAGAAGCTGAAAGTCTCGTCCACGAAGATCAATATTGCTATCAAGAAATCTCTCCGGTAAAAACTTCTCAGGTTCAGGCCAAGCAGCTGGATCTCGCCCAATGGCCCATGCGTTTATGATTATGCGCGACTTTTTTGGTATGTGAAAGCCTTCAATTGTACAGTCTTCCACGGACTCATGAGGGATCATCAGGGGTCCAACTGGATGTAGCCTCATGGTTTCCTTCACAACCATGTCCAAATACTCCAAGCTCCCCAGATCCGATTCTTTAACCATCCTCTTCAATCCTATCACTTCTTCTAACTCTTTCTGAACTTTCTTCATTACCCTTGGATGTTTTATGAGCTCTGATAATGTCCACTCGATTGCAGTTGCTGAAGTGTCCATCCCCCCAACAAGCATGTCCTACAGAGAAAATTGAATGGTCAGAAACACATAAATATATGTTCTGTTTACTAAGTAGAACAAAGAGTACCAGGATAATTGCTTTGATGTTGTCTTTCTCGAGTTGGTACGAAGTTTCTTCGGATCCCATTAAGTCCAACATCATATCAACAAAGTCTTTTAGTCTGTCATCATTTCTGGATTGAAGATGGTCATCAATGACCTTCTCCAAGAAATCGTTAAAAACCTTGGCTATAGCTTTCATGCGCTTTGTCAGGCCCTGAAGGTCAAGTGCTCTGATTTGAGGAATATAATCACCCAAGTTTGGAGTCGCCGCTAACTTCAGGCTCTCATGTATCACAGCTTTGAACCCGTTCTCATCAATATCCTTGTCAGTGTATTTCTTCCCAATCACCATTCTGCAAGTCATGTCAGCGTTGAGAGATGAGAGCTTCGCACTAAGGTCAACAGCAACATGGTCACGAACATCCTCTCGAATGGACTCAATCAAGATGTTGAGTTCCTCCTTTCTCATGGACTTGAAATAATTGATCTTGTGGTTGCTGAGCAACTCTAGGGTGCACATCTTGCGCATGTCGCGCCAGTAAGTCCCATAGGGAGAAAAAGCCAAGCCTTTTTGCCCGTAAGACATGTGCTTTGAGGCCTCAAGAGTCGGCCTGCTGGCAAAAACAAGGTCGTTGTTTTTGAGGAACAGCTCTGCGGCTTGAGGTGACGAGACCACAACTGTTGGCACCATGCCTAGGCGGAGGTACATGATGGGGCCATGTTCGTTGGCTAATCTATGAAGATTTCGATGAGGCATCTCTCCTAATAAGTGGAGGTTTCCAAGGATTGGAATCCCTCTTGGCCCCGGCGGTAATCTCTTACCATTTTTGACCTGTCTGCTCCTAATCCATGCTTGGAAGCAAGACACAAGTAGAACAAGCACAAATGCTGCCCATGTCCAAGTCATGTTGATGGTTGGTTACCGTCTTCTAGTTGCAGCTAAGGGTGAGCTCTCCGATGCTTGAATGCTATACCTTATCTTAATTGGGGAAGTCACGGAAGGCGGCTTGATTTTGACATGGAGAGGCAAAAAAAAAAATAAAAAATCAAGAACTAGAGTCCAAGTCCCAATGCCCATGTATGACTGTAATTGTGCACTTGACATTTGAAACACACAATAAACGTTTGATTTTGTTCCTTTCATTAATATGTTAGGTAGCCATGAATCCTGTAGAAAATACTGCGTACTCAATCATTAAAAGACTAAAACACCCTTACAAATAATTACATTCACATCATCCGTTACAGAGGTAACATTTAGTAGCATCACTAGATAAGCCAAGTTAGTCAAAATGACGTTAAACTATCTCCAATAGATATTAGGAGTCCTTCACCTAAAATTAATAGAACTCTTGATTTTTTCCTTTGGTCTTTGTATTTTTCAAGGTTATCAATAGCTGATAGCTATCATGATAATGAAGCAGACAGCAAAGCAATCGCTATTAACCAAATAATGAACATTAAAAAAACTAAAAATATAAAAATTTATTAAATAGAATAATAAACCTAATAATGAAAAGGCTTTCAATAATTTAATAATTTAAAGAAATTAAAATAATTCTAAATGACTACGTAACTTAAAATGACTTAATAACAAAATATTTTCAAACAAATAAAATTATAACAATCAGAATAGATAGAATTATAAGATAATAAAATAAAATACAAAAGTAATTAATAATATCAATTTTTAAGAATTAAAAATTAAAAATTTATTATTTAAGAGAATCGAATAACCCTCGTGCCTCTCTACAGCTTCCAATCTTGTTAAATGGACAGAATTTGAAACTAGCAACAATCTCAGGATTAATTAAAAAGGTTTTTACAATTTTTTGTTTACATGCAAACCTAAAAAAAAAAAAATCAGCAAGAAAATAGAACCATAAAGCTTAAATTCCGTACAAATCAAAGCTTTTCTTTTGGTCAGAAGAAAAATTAAAGCGTGAGTGCCAAAAAAAGGGGCATGGAGTTCTTCTAGGCTTTGTAAGGTGAGGGGCATTGAGTTTTGGGCTTTTGCAATGTCACGGGCGTGGGCAACTAGAGTGGCGACAAGGTTAATTGGCGTCAGGGCTTGTATTGCTAGCGACAAGGTTGATTGGCATCACGAGGTGTTTTTGCAGGGGTCACTGTTTAGCTTTGCTTTGCTTTGCTTTTACTACGTCAGTTGTGAGAGAGAGGCAAGGGATAGATCGGATCGAGGTAAGATTTACGGATGGTTTGGATGGAAGAAATTAGAGGGGGAATGGAAAGAGAGTGAGGGGAAAGAAACATCCTTTTTTGGTTTGGTTTAATTTTTTTTTTTAGTATTAGTTTTTTTAGTATTTAGAAGTTATATTAGATTTTGATTAATTTAAAATTAAGTTTCGTTAAGTCTCATAAGGGAAAAAATTCTTTCAGTATTTATTTTTTTATTTATAAAACTCAAATTCAAAATTTTGTTTAAAAAAATTAAATTTTTTCCATTCAAATTAACAAACTATTGATATTTGATTTAATAATTTTAATAAAAGGAGAAGGAGAAAGAAGAAAATAAACCCTTTTTCTTCTCTATTTTTAATTCTTTTGATTTGAAATGATTGTAATAGATTACATCGATTCACTTATTTTTATTAATTTTTTTTAAAAATGGATATATAAACATGTTCTTTTAACCATTCATTTACTTAACAAAATTAAAAAAAAAATTATATTTTTCTCTTCTCCACTTTCATCTATTTAAATAAAATTAATCTCAATCTTTTCATTCCCTTTACTTCTCTTCCCTTTCCTTTCCCTCCCCTCCCCTTTCTTTCCTTTA